GGGACAGCACCAATCACTGTGGCGTTCCTCTTCCCCCGAGGCAGATGCCTTTGGACTCGACCCGCCGACCGCCAATCTCGCCTACCTTTCGCTCAGGAAGTCCTAAATATATTCATACGTTCCCTTGCCCACAGCCAGCGCCCTCAGGCTGCCGAGGACTGCGTCGTGTATAATGTTATCAAAGGCCTTGGTCAAATCCAGGCCCAGGATTGCTGTGGTATCGAGGAAGAGCTCCGCGTTCCATCCACTATCTGATATTTCAGGCGCAGCATCACGTCCTGAGTGGACAGGTCCGGGCTGAAGCCGACCATTGTGTGCGGAAAGAGCTCCCTCTCCTCCATGTACCTGTTCAGCCTCGCTAGGACACCGTGCCCCATGAGCTTGCCCGCGGAGGAAGTTAACGAAATCGGTCTAACGGGGAGTCCAGCTGCGGCTTTTTGACCGGCTTGGGGATCATTAACACCTTGGCGGTCTTCTACTGCTCGGAGATAGAGCCCCCCCCTAGTGAAAAATACACCAGCTCGAGGACTGGTGTGACGTGATGTTACACCAAAATTTTTCACAGATGTGATTTGGGACATTTTCTGGTGTGACACCAGAAATCTGGTGTTCTGGTGTGACATCAGAAATCTGATGTGTGGGTATGACGCCAGAAATCTGGTATTCTGATGTTACACCAGACATCTGGTGTTCTGGCGGGACATTAGGTTTTGTTGTAATGTGATACCAGACCACCTGTTGACTGGGTGTTGCTTTACTCGCAAAAAAGGGTACAATGATCAGTTTGACAACAACGCTGCTGCCATAATTACTTTATTCAAAAAAGCACAGCAGTAAAGCTTCGGAAGCTTTACTGTTGTAGGGAGTTGGCCGTGATCAACTGGAGTCTGTCCGGAGCCACTGCCCTGCGTCGAAGAACCGGACGCCCTGGCCTTTCAGCTTGCGGTTGACTTGTGTCTTATAGTTACGCTGATCAGTTCCGCGTACCGCTCCGCACTAAAAATTTCCTCTTCTAATTCATCATATTGCACAGATAGCTCGATTTGCTTGTCCAGCTCTTTCAGGGAAGCCTCCTTAAGTAGAAGAATATCAAATGTTTCTTCGTGCTCACCGATGTCGGTTGGATCCGTGGCCAGCAGACGCCCTCGCTTACGACCGCCTGAAGCTTTCGCTTCAGGCGGTCGACGCCCTCCTCGCTTGTAGTACCCTACTGGAAAAACCATCATGAAAATCAAACTGGCCAAGATGGTAACTAAGCTGGTCAATCTGGTCAATGTGGCAGTCAAACTGGTTTAACTGGCAATCAAGCTGGTTTAAGCTGGGCAAGCGCAAATTTAAGCTGGTCAGTCTGGCTTAAGTAAAAACCAGCATGGTCTAACTAGAATCTGTTTTTAGATTCAATATGGTGTAGCTGGGAGCCAGTCTGGTCCTAATTGGTCAAACTGGTTTTCCATGGAGCCAATGTGGTCAAGCTGGGATACAAGCTGGTCGTGCTCGGAGACAAGCTGGCGAATCTGGTCGAACTAATAATCCTGGTGGTCAAGCTGGTCATGCTGGGAGCGCGTACGCGAAGGTCGGCTAGAGATAGCCGAACTGGCATTGCTGGGAGCGCGCGCCAAGGTCGGCTTAGGCTGAAACGAGGCCACGTCCTGTTCTTTGTCCTCTCGTTTTTGGTAGACGACCGGGCGCGTCAGGCGCGCTGCAAGCGACCTTTGTGTGCGAGAAAATAGAGAGAGAGAGTGGTATGAACGGAGAATTTGAGACGCGTTTGGCTATCTTGGACAGATTTTCGAGGGGACGGCTGTGTGCGCGTTGTTTGGAGACTACTAGGAACGACAGTGCAAGCGAAGAGGGTTTTGAGGAGACAGCGAGTGGGAGTCCGTTCAGTGCGGGAAGATGTCGGACGTCCCGATTGAGGCGTCGCTTCGTGTCTTCTAACGTTTGTGTGCTCGTGAATGACGGTGGTGCCGAGAAGTATCGCCAATGCCATCCAAGCCACACGGATTTCCTCTCCTCTCCCGACCACGCAAGTTGCCGCTTCGCCCCCATCACTGGCGGACCCAGGTTCGCTTCTCTCATCCGTGTAGCATTTTATTTTGCTATTGCCTGTTTTTGGCGTGTGTCTAGTATTTTTCGTGTTGAAAGACAAGCAATTTTTTTTTTTTAACATTGTTGGCTTTGCACCGAGAACCACTGTGTGCGCGTCGCTTAGTACTGTGTCAGCGCCGAGGTTATGTAGCATCTCAGTTTATGTGAGGCGGCCGCGAGTACGAAAATAATAAATTGGAGGCCGAGTTGGCTTTTCTGAAGAGCTTGGTTTGTCTTTCATGTGTATTAATTTAAACAGGTTAAACTGGTTGGGAAGTCCACCAGCATGACCAGCATGCCACACTGGGCATGCTGGGGCAATAACCCAGCTTGAAGCTGGGACCAGATCAACTACCATGACCAGTATAACCAGATAAACCAGCATGACCAGTATGACCAGATCGACCAGCATGACCAGCATGCCAAGCTGGGCATGCTGGGGCAATAACCCAGCTTGAAGCTGGGACCAGCTTAAGCTGGTTTTTTCCATAGGGTAGGCATTTCGGCCCCAAAAACTGTAATAATTACTAGCTTCCTTCGTCGCTTTGCTACCAAACCAAGCTCGTCGGAAGTAAGGAAAGCGCACCAACACAACTTTTCGGCTTCGACTCACAAAAAAGACTTCTTTACTTTCTCAAACTTATAGCGAGTTCGTTTCACTCGCACTGGCACCGTTCGAGTTCTCTCCCAGAATGCATCGCACTCACAGATTGTTGCACGGAAAACTCGAGTCCAACGAACTCGCCCAATGCGACGAGTGCAGAAGACATATATTGCCGCCATCTATGTTGTAAAAAGAGTACCAACCTCAAACCGAAACTAGCGCCTTCTTGTTCGGAATGCGAGAGTGCAATCACTACCAACGTTTATCTTACAAATGTTGAACGCTGCAACCTGTGGTTTATAGTTGCGATGACTTCAAGCAACTCCGCTGCCCTAAAGAGAGTTACAGACGGCTTAAATTTCTGCATCCAGCTGTCTACAAAGCAGCTGGTTGCGATTTACACTGAAGAAAACTGATGATGCTGTCCGAGCAGAAGTTTGATCCGTTCGAGCATGGTATTATGCGTGAACCACTGAAAGGGTATGGCTTAAAACTAGTCTGTTGGAATATCCAGAAAAACTTTTCGAGGGACTTTCGATTTTGATCGTCATTACAGGTGGATCCGATATTACTCTTGGTTAGGACGTCGAAAACGAGAGCATTCTCGAACAAATAACGACGGGGAAAGTTAGCTGATGTAGGTAAATGTTAAACATGATGATGTTGCCCAAGCCTCGAGTGAAGTCACTATGTTTAGCTTTCTCATATGCTTATTGGGCAGTCAGAGGTTTCTGCTGGCGGAGTTTTGTCGACAAATGTTGAATTTTTCACCCGCATACGGATGGGGATAAACATCTCGGGGGCCGCTGATGCGTTTGTTCTGAGCATTTCTTGACACACTGTATTGTTCAGCGTCTGTATGACAATACAGCGACTTAAAACCTGCAAATAAAGCACGGATTGTTAATTGCTTCTTTCATGAAATAGCAGACGCTCACCATTCAAGCTCGCGTTTCATTATGTTGCCCGCGGGACGCGATTTCTATCAAAAATCTACGTTATTTTTTTTTTTCTTTTCGGTTCCGCGACACATCGTAGCAGACGAACCCACCGTCGTCTGCTCCCGCTCCTCGCCGGCCTCGCCGGAGCGAGGCATGACGGGATTGCATTTTGGCGCACGCCCGATTTTCTCGGTGCAGCGAGTGCATGCACGCGTGGGGTGCCGCCGCTGAAACGAACTCGGAGAGTGCAACCACTGGTGGAGTGCCTGCCGAAACGAACTCGCTTTACGCCGCGAGTGGGCACGCGTGGACACGAGTGCCGTGAAACGAACTCGCTATTAAACAAGCATACCGGCGGAAAGGGAAAGAGAAACCCTCGAAGAAACGAGCCGGCAAGCGCCCCAAGCTGCTCAAGGCCGCCCGGGAAAGTGCTCGGGACGAGGGGGACACTTCTTGAGCACAAAGGAGCCCGCCGCGTCTCCGGCGACCACCAAGACGGAAGGAAACAAGGCACCCCGTCGGGGGACGGAGCGGCACACACACTAATAGAAAACACGCGCGCGGACGGGGGGAAAAGTCAACAAAACACAACTCTGGTGTCACATCAAACTGCGTGATGTGCACACCAGGCTGCCTGGTCGGGGCATGAGTCCTTGTGGTGTGACACCAGACTCTCTTGGTGTACCCATCAGGCTAATGTGCGGTTACACCAGCATTTCTGGTGGGCACACCAGGCTGGTGTTCTCGATACATCAGCATCGTTGGTGGGCACACCAGATATTCTGGTGTCACACCAGGATTTTCTGATGCCACATCAGGATTGCCTGGTGTATTTTTCACTAGGGCCGCTCCCAGCAGGCGTTCAGGTATTGCGTTATACCGGTAACGGCTCCGTCAACCAGGTTACGTAGCATCTTGTTCGTCACCCTGTCGGGACCCGGGGCCGACCTGGTCTTGAGTCTGAGCAGGACCTCCCTCACTTCCGCTTCGGTGATGGGCACGCCCAACGCCGCGTTCCTCTCGCCGTCGTACTCCGTGGGAGTTCGGGGTAAGCTGTCCCTTATGCACCTGTTGCGGATCTCCTCCATGATGTCGTCCTGGGTCTCCTCATAGCGACGCAGGATCTAGCTCATCTTGTTCTTCTGGTCCGTCTTGGTGCCGTCTGGATCGAGCAGATGCCGAAGGATGTTCCAGGTCTTCGGAGTGCCAAGCTGGTGGTCGAAGCCGTCGCAGGAGTCTTGCCAGTGCTGTCGCGTGATCTTGCTGGCATGGGCTTCATTCTCCTTACTTAACTTTGCGATCTTAAGTCGAAGGTTGCGGTAGTGTCTCTGGATCGTCAACCTCTTCTGCATGCTGGACTTGGACTCTCACATGTGCAGGAGCTTACTGTCAGCAGTCAGCACGTTTGCCTCCTCAGGCACGGTCTTGGTCGCGTGCTCGGCGCAGGCCCTCAGCTCTTCCGTCCACTCCTCGATGTTCTCAATGTCCTCTTCCTCAAACTCCTCTAGAAATCTTCTGAAGGCGTCCCACTCTGTAATCCTAATCCTTCTGCCGTTCGATTTCCCCGGGACGGATATGACCGTCACCGCCACCACGAAAGAGTCACTGCCCTGATCTTCCTTCCAGGTGTGGATCCACTCTGCTCCTTTCACGTTCCGAAATAATGCTAGGTCCGGCGTGGTGACCCTTGTGCCTTGCATCTCCCCTCCTGGTGTTGTTAATCCGGGTCAGTAACCAGTGTCAGTCCTCCATCATGGACTTCATGCCAGAGGTTCCTGCCTTTCATGCTCTCGGTCAGGTACCTCCAGTCCGGGTGAGGCGCGTTGAAGTCGCCGACCACCACGGGGGCCTTTTGCTTTGCGATCTCCAGGGTCGCCCGGAAGAGTGTGGCAAACCTGTGACGCTTCGCGAAACTGCTGTAGACGTTGAGCACAAAGACGCTGCGCTCGTCCCTCTTCGTGTTCCACCGTCCGGATCCCGGTGTCGTGCTCGATGACTGGTAGGTTCCTTCTGACTAGCGTCGTGACCCGAGTCTTCTCCTTGGATCAACATTTTTTTTATCCGGCAATTGGACTCCACGAGAGCCTAAGAGAGCCAACGTATACACACACTCACTTCTGCTAAGTCACGCCGCGGTGGTGACGCTTCGGGCGCACAACCGATGTGGGTGCGTGAGCGAAAGTTGCCACGCGGGACGGGCATTCCTGTGTTGTTTTGAAATAAACCAGACTGAAACCGGCCTTCTCGTGAATACGCCGCGACTGGGTCTGCACCGAAATAATTTAGAAAGGTGTGACGATTAGTTTTTAGGGGCGAAGCTTCTTAGGGTCTAGCCTTGTTCATCCGCCCGGCGTCCGTGCTCACATCGATTGCACTGCCCCCGGAACCAGCCCACTTAAAAAAAAAAAAAAAAAAACGTACGATTGCACGGGGTCCGAACTCAGGACCGCTTGCTTATGGGGCAGACGTCTTAACCACTACGCTACACCCCAACGTTGCATATAGCCGCTCAACGTCTAGACAGGAGAAGGCACTGCGGTCAAATGCGTATATAATCGCGTTAAACTTTACATGCATTGGCTCAACGTTTATAGACGAGAGGGCGTTGCGGTCAAATGCTCAACTGCGTATATAACCACGATCCATACCACACATTGTCTTTCTGGCATGGACCGTTGACTTAAGCGGTGGAGATGCGTTCCCACGGCTTCTAGCGGATCCAAGCTGATCTTCGAAAAGAACCACTGGCTCTGCATTTCACCGACCATAAAGCAGTAATAATAAAGTCGAAACGCAACCCGGAACTCAGCAATAAGCAATAAAAAAAATCAGCACCATCAGCACTATTTATGAACTATAAAATCAGTATCATCAGCACCACCAGAGCTTCGCCCCGACCAACATCAGTCACCACGTGGAGATGCAACCTCTTTTATGGGTTTTCTAGCTGCTCGGTTCGTCCGAGAATGTGAAGAGGTGCCGTGAAAAGGGAAAACCAGGCCCCGTCAGACCACGATTGCTTGTGCAAGAAGTGTTTTGGATTGAATTCACAAATACTTCTTTTCGTCAGGGTTATTTGTTTTGTTCCGGCATGTACGCGGAAAAACCGTCAAGTTGTCCGGATTACCCGCGAACCACGGTCAGAGCGTCCTTCATGTTCAGTGGCCATCTGCTCTTTCAAACTCATTCAAACTGTCGTCTGCTCGTCCAAACGACAGCGACTCGTAAAGCAAACGTTGACCCGGTAAATTCCATAAAAAGTGACCGCGGGCCCCAAAAGGCTTTTAAGTTTGAAAATTGTTTGAAATAAGAATGGCTCGTTACACGAGGATATGTTTATGATAGTTACAAGTTAGTATCTCCGATTGTTAACCCGATTAACTTGGTACGATTCTCCTCGCGATTTTTAGCATTGACGTCGAGCATCGCAGCTACCGTCCACGCATTTGCAGCCCGAGCGACTTCGCGACTGAAAATAGCGAGCACGAATCTAATCGTACAAATCAGGCTTTAGCGTTCAATCCGCGGCTTAATAAATCGCCGCATGTCATTTGAATTACTCGAATTTTTGGGATGTAACAAGCCTCATTAATTTCGCTCAGGTCAGAAAAATAGTAAGTCGTTGCTAGGAGACGTAAATCAGCAATTCCAACGCGAAAAATAACACAGGGTTTCACACTGACGCCGACATCACATTTCAATGGTATGTTGTCACGGGGCGATGCGCTTGCCCACATCCCATTGCGGGTGCGCGGCAACGGAGGCGTGCTGCTAGGCGCGCTCCGGTTCGTTTGTAGACAAGAGTTGGTGTATAATTGAAGTTGGTATTCTTTGGTCCGAGACTGGGTATTTTGGCCTTTAATTTCCGAACAATCGCAGAGTAAGGCTTTATATTGCCTAGTTCCTTCGTTGTCACCAGGCTTTTTCGTGCCTCAGTTTTAAAGGGAATGCCCGAATTAGGCTTTACTTTTGGTCGGTCGGTATTCACTTGAAAACACATTTGGGTTTAGATTTGCAACAAGTACCAAAATTAGGCGGCACTGGTGGACGCTCAATTGATAAGTGGCGCGAGCATCCTTGAATGAATCACTTTGGCTATTATGTAGAAAAGCAGAGGAAAGCCAGAGAAAAGTGAAGTAAAAGTATCTTGTTACATACCAAAGTGTTGAAGAAAAAACTTATAAGGCCCCACTTGGCGGTTTAGGATTGCCACACTTCGTCCAAATAAGGTGTTTCTTTTACGTGCTGTCTCGCACACCACCCATACTCTGAACTGGGCAGCTAACAACGCGGAAGCTTAGGAAGTTGTTCTACGAGGAATATGTCCACGAATGTGAATATCCACTTCACATGGAGGTGAAAGCCAATTGTAACAGGCTACCTGTTTAAAAGGTATGCATATAACGACAAGGCTCTGGTGCAAGCAGACTGAGAGCTACGTCTGAGACAAAAATGGAGTGTATCAATTTTGATGTCAGCTGCGTTGCTTGAAGTAATCGGCATTGGGGTATCCAGTCTTGCTATTCAGACTTGTCCCTATCTTAAATACCCTACTACTGAAATGCAGGAGGATGCTTAAGCTTCGCTTTTAAGAGTGGAACGTGATAGCTAAACATATAAGCCCCGCTCGTTCCCAAGTCGTGCAAGCGTGTCTGTGTGGTCTAGTCACTAACGTGCCTGGCTCACAAGCGAAGGGTCGCGGGTTCGAACGCCACACACAGGCGTGACGTCACACGTGACGTCACGTCTGTGTGTGACGTCACGTTTCACGTCAGGTCACACGCGAGCTTTGTGGGTTGTTTGAAATTCCCGCGCGAGGTCATGTAGCGTGACGTCACACGTTGGCTCTGACATAATGACCCTATCAACCAATCAAGATTTTTTCGTCCAACCCCCAGAATTTCTGTGACACGACCTCCTAAATACTATCGCGTTAATACCGCATTCTAAATAGTTCTGATAGTGTTTTGGTATTTTGCAAATACATCTCTTCTAGAGTATTTGCTGACTATCTCAAACACACATTCAAATTTTGAAAAAAAAAATTTTTTTTGGGGAGACAATTGACAGACTTTGGAGGAATCGTCAGACCTCATGACAAAGCTCGACCAAGTGCAAACTCGGAGTCAGGCGACCAAACACAGACAAGGAAATAAGGCTGAAGGAAAAAGTACACTTTAAGAAAAAAGTTGTCTCAAGGGACTAACGGCAGCATTTGGTCCTCTGAATTCCCAGTTTCTCCCCGAAAGGACCATCTGGTTCGAGCTAGGTACCATGCGCAAAAGCTGGGGACTCACTGCGCTCGACTGGGACTAACCGATAGGTGTGCGCGGGCAAAAGCATTCATTAGTCTCCTCAGACCCGGTGCATCTGTATCGTTTAGAGACCGAAGGCAAACGGAATGTTCGCCAGGAGGACAGATGATGTTACGCTTGTCTTGGGGATCGACGGGACTCAGCCCAGCACGGCTGAAAATGTTTACAAAACTCGGACGAAACTGGCGAATTTGTTTAATGTGCCACCAACGTTAAGATATTACATGGTAGATCTTCGCGCGTTTTGTAAATACGAGTCAACGAACGTGTTGACTGGACTTCACCCAACTATCTCGTCAAAAATGACGTGTTGACATTTCACAAGTCCCATTCACGTAATTTGCCTTCGCGCAAAAGATTAGCATTTATCCAAACGGAACACGTCCAAATACTAACACTTCTCTTTTCTCTTAAATGAAACTTAACAGTTAGTAGAAGCCGCGCTTTCAACACCGGAGTCTCGCAGTCAAAATAAATGGTCACTTCAATCACTAAAACTGAGTTTTTGAGAACAAGTCGAGCCTCGTCTCTGCGTCTCCCAGTGACCAACCTTCCTGGGTAGTCCAATGTCGAACTCAAGATCCGCAACGACACACTTGATGCATGGCACGTTCCACTCAAAAAGCACTTTCAGGGGCAGTATCCAGACGCCTTCATGTCATCGTCGTCGCTGTTTCAGATAACATTCCGGATGAACAACGAAGAACGAATCGCGCCCGGAACGTTATCCATGGCAACACCCTGCTAATACAAAACAAATGCGAACTAAAAAAAAAAGGCACCCGAGAGAATTAAAAATACTTAAAAGAGAGAAACAGAGAGAAAGGAAACATAAAAAAAAAAGTGTCCGCTTGTACGTTATTCGACCGGCGTGTTGAAAACGGCGACCTTTTCCCGTCCTTGGGTCGGTGGTGATGTGTAGTGGGATGGGAAGAGATTTTCGTGCGCGCTTTTCCCCCTCCCACCAATCCCCTACCCCGCATTCTTTCTTTTAATCCTCGCTCACGCGGGGGGTTAGGCAGATGGGATAGGGTCCAGCGAAAAAATGGGAAGGTGTCTTTGTTTCAAAAGAACCTGTTTGAGTAATGGTCAATTCCACTGTTCGTTTTGGAGCGCGCCGGGATCGACTTTTCTGGAGCGAGCCAATTTCACTGGGCGATCGGGATCGAGACGGCCGTGTTCCATTGGTCGTTTTGGATTAGCTCCCGCTCTAGATCTCGATCTGGATTCGAGAAAAGTCGCTCCAACGATTTCGGCGAATTCAAGCGGAAGCCAGCCGGGCCAGCCCTCGGTGCACACAGGTGACTTCCTTTCACGCGTGGCATCTCGCCTGATCTTGCCCATCCCGCCTCAGAAGAACTCGTAATGGCCGCTTGTTTACCCCTTGGCTCGA